AATAAATCAATCATCCAATATTTGTATTGAATTAACTAAATATTATTGTAAAAAATATATTAGGAGTAACTCATAAAAATTAACGATGAGCCTATGATGCCTTCATTTCAACTCGGTAAGATCAATAGCAACCCATCAACAATGAGATTTTACGCTAAAGACATTATGAGCTTATAGCATGACATAAAATCCTCATCATTGAACGACTAACATGGCAGTAACTAGAGAAGCTTAACGAAAAACTGTAAACTACAATATCAAAATTTTGCATAAATTAATTCACAATTTATTTATATTTTGAATATTTATAAATACTTTAGATTATATTCATCAATATAACTAAAACAATTGAGCAATAAAATAATTTTGTTAGATTTTAATTAGCATGTACAACACCCTTGAGATATTTTTAGAATAAATAATAAATCAAACATATATTAAAAATACCTCAGCATGTAAACTAAACAAAATTATCAAAGGAAATTTTTTTAAGTATTTTTTATAAACTTTTTGCTGGAAAATTTGTCAGATAAAAGTAAGCGATTTTTAGCCAAAAAAAAAAAAACCTAAAAATGCTATTGATTTCTAGTGCTATATTGAGTGAAGCAACATCCCCTATTCCAAATACCATATATCCTAGCCAATCTTTTAGCTCTCAAGGAGTCATTTTGCTACCGATCCTCACCCCAATTAGGCCCAATAAGATCATGTTAATACATCTCCTTTGAAGATTAGAAGTAGCAAATCATCGAGCACGTAGCTCATTTTAGTATGTTGGTTGGGAGCTATAGCTAGGGGTGTTAATTTCGGGTCACGGGTCAGGTTCGGGTCGAACCCGAACTGACCCGGGCTCAAACAGGTCGACCCTAACCCGACCCGGGTAGATAAACGGGTCGGAAATCCGAACCCGGACCCAACCCGACAGGTTGTCGGGTTGACCCAACCCGACACGGGACCCGAAACGCGGGTGAGCAAGCTTGCGGCAAGCGCGGCGGGAACCAGAACCCGAACCCGACCGGTTTTGAAATCCGGATTTTTCGGGTCGGGTTCGGGTCAGGTTTTCGTGTCATGTCAAATATTGACACCCCTAGCTATAGCTATTAACAAAGAAGTCTTTGATTTGAGTCTTATATATATGATGTCTGTATAAATTTGCCTTGATTAGCCTAAATATTCTTCCCCCCTCCCCCGCCCAAAAAAAAAAAAAAAACAAATCATTGAGCAATAACAAGCAGATTTTATCCAATAGCGAGCTTCTCCTCATATTCTCATTTTTTTTATTCCCTTGCATTACATCAAGGATTAGCTTTAAGCCCTTATCTTTTACATATGTTTTAGCTTTAGTCATGGATGCTCTTACTATAAATTTGTAAAAGGATATACCTTGGTGTATGCTTTTGGTAGATGATATTCTTATTATTGATAAGACTAGAAAGGGAGTTGATGAAAAACATGAATGATGAACGACAACCTTAGAGTCTAAAAGTTTTCGTGTGAGTAGATCTAAAATCGAATGCACGAAGTGTAATTTTAGTAGTAATAGTGGTGGGATTGTGATATTAGGTGACCAAGTTATTAAAAAGAGCGTACAATTTTGACATCTCAGGTCTATTGTTTAAAAGATGATGAAATAGATATGGATATTATTAGTAGAATTCAAGCTGGATGATTAACGTGAAGGGATGCATCGAGCCTATTGTGTAAAAATACCTCTCATACATAAGGTAAAGTTTGATGAGATAGTAGTGAGACCTGCAATGCTTTACAGTGCAAAATCTTGGCCATTAAATGAAAAGTATAAAATTAAGTTAAGAGTTACAGATATGAGGAAGCTTACGGCTTTACTCTTAGAATCAAAATGCAAAATGAGTATATACGTTAAAATGTTGGAGTAGCTCCAGATGCAGATAAAATTAGAGAGCGTCGCCTTAGATGATTTAATCACATAAAACGTCAGTCTTTTGATGACCTTATTACGAAAGTAAATGTATTAGATTTAGTCTATGTTAAGAAAGTTAAAAATAGACCTTAAAAGACTTGGTTAAAATGTACTAAAAATGATTTTTTAATTAAATTTAGATAATTATTTAACTTTTAATAGGACATAACGGAGAAAAACAACTCATGTACCTAATAATCTCACATAATGTACGTGATGAAGACTAGTTGATATTATTAGTTGCTTTAATTTTTTTTTTCAAATATTCAATTATATGTTTAGCTATATTACATAAATTCTATTTAAATGCTATTATATTTAATATATTCAATTTATTTCTTTTATGACATCGTAACTTAATGACGACATGTTTTTTTTTTTTTTTTTTTGCAGGTTTTTTTTTTTTTTTTTTTTTTTTTTAATGCAGGAAATAGTTGTAATTTAACCAATATTATTATTCCATTGTTGGACTATATTACAAAACAATATCAACATGATTTATTCACATTTATCTTTGTTAAACTATATAATAGAACAATAATCTGTTAAATAATTTCTTTATTTAAAACAGCTTTTTTAATAAAAAAAATTAGAATTAAAAAAATATTTAAAAAAACAGTAAAAAACTTGATAGAGCAGAAATGGCAAAGTCTTATCTTCTGTTCATTTTAAGCAAATGGGGCCAAAACTTCGCCATTTGCAACGCCGCCGTCCTAACGTGGCAGAACAAAATACAGCTGCATTTATTTTCAAGCTTATCTTATCCTCATCTATAAATTATATATAATTAAATAAAAAATAAGATAGGGCTAAAATAGAAAATTTGATGGTATGAGGAGGCTCAATTTCATAATATGTTTAAGAGATGACATTTCAAACTATTGATTTACAGCTCATGATAAATTAGCTTACTGCAAATAACAAATGTAGCTCATTTTGATCTATTAGTTAGGAGTTTTGATAAGGGTGTCAACTTGGGCCAACGAATTAGATTCATATCCAATTAGAGTTGACCCAAGCGTAAACGGATTGACCTGACCCCAACTTGTCTAGCTAAATGGGTCAGGGTTTACAACTTAGACCCAACCTGCGTGGGTTATTGGGTTGACCCGACCTGTAAATCCGATTAGCTAAACGGCGCAGGCGGTGAGGCAAGGCGATGTGGCTAGTGACTGGACCACTGGTGAGGCAGAGCAGGCAGTGAGGCTGACGGTGATGGCCTGATGGGTCGTGTTATTCGCATATTCGCGTTCAGCGTGTGCCACCAGGGTTCTGTAGGCCGCTGTAGTGCCACCTGGTAGCAGGCGGTCTAGGAGACTAGGTCGGCGGAGATGTTGCACTACAGCGGCCTACAGGCCGGCACTCCGACAGTGATGAGGCTAGACGCTAAGACACCTAAGCGCCAACGGAAGACAGCTGGCTGAAGCGACAAGAATAGATGCGGACGGGAAGGTTGGCCTAACACGGACGGGATGACAATCACGTCTCCGAGTCAATAGGGTTGACATCGGGTTGACCTGACCCAATTTTACAAATAGGTCAAAAATTCTTAACCCGAACCCGACCTGTATCGCAAACGAGTTGACCCGAACTTGAATTTTTTTGGGTCGGGTCCGAGTCTTGTTTTGGGTCGGGTCAGATTTTTACACCCCTAAGTTTTGACTATCTATTAAAAGATTTTTGGTTCAAATCTTATGTATGTTATGTGCGTATGAATTGATTATAATTGACCAAAATGTCCTAAATAAAATGCCAATAGCAGTTCATTATATGAACAGATTAACAACTGCATTAAATTATTGAAGTAAAAAATGTTCAGTGAGACGAAACTATGAGCAAATACACTGAAGAGGAATGCGAATTGCTGCTAAGCCATGAATTTTAAACTCATCATATCATGTGTTAAAAGCATATTGTGTTGCAGAGAGATGCAGCATTCATTCATCAGATAACTTTAGATATCTAAAGTTGGATTATTTGCTTCATTTCATAACACCAAAATTTATGCCTTGCTGCATTCATGTTAAAACTTGTGATAAGCAGACCATTTAAGCCAAGCCAAGATGGAAGAAAGCAACATCTTAATATCGACTAGCAACCAGTTCAAGCAATTAAAGTGGCAAGTTATTTACAATTTCGTTAAGGACTCACAATGGTCACCTTTCACTCCTTTAACATGCAGCTTACATAGAAAATAAGATATGTTTATGAACTCTGGGGTAAAAGTAATGCTACACGGCCCAACTTATAATCTTACGAATAAATTGTTAGTTTTGTGTGGAATTTGATTGTGTCGATTAATCGAATTGTACTATATCTCAATTTCATCAGTTAAGTTCATCGGGGGGGGGGGGGTCTTTACTTTGGGGGGGGGGGGGGCTCTTTACTTTGGGTTTGGGGGCCATGCCTTCAAAATTTTTATTTTGCTATGTACAATTGTACAATGTTATGACGTTATATACTCTAGTGTTGCGATGTTATACATAATGCTGGTTGGAGACAGAGCGAAGCGCTACGGCATTCCAAACCCTGGTGCTGCACTGCTATCAATCAGGCTGGAAATAGAGAGTGGAGCGTTGCAAGGCTCCAAACCGCAACTTCACTACTATGCAAGTCGGCTTGGGCAGTTTTCTTTCTCGTTTCTCACTTTTAGCTTGAAGAGTTGCATCCCTTTGGATGGTTTATGAGAGTTTTTTTGTCAGTTCTGTAGGTTCTCGTCTTTGGTGTGATGTGTCTCCGTGATTTTTTCCCGATTTTAAATTTTTCCTCATTAAACTCGGTGTTCTTACATTTCCATTATATTTTCTTTTTCTTATTTGTTTTCGCTATATGGTGTTTATTCCCAACATAAATATCAGTACAATCGACAACACAAGATTATAAGAATTTATTCATCTCTCTCTCTCTCCCTCCCTCCCTCGCTCTGTGCACGGTCTAGAACATCAAAACTTTTTTTATATTCGAGATGAGCAACATAACATGTTTCTTGCAGTAATGTTCTTCTATTACTATTCAATCATCATTAATCAAAACAAACAAGGCAAGATGATAGAGGTCACAATTAACAGAATACTTCCACTAACTCTGGCAAATTAATGTTCCATTGAATTTGCATAAGATTAGCTATAGTACACAGGAACTTCCTACATAGCTTAAATACAAATTTATTCTGTACATAATAAAGCAAGTAGACCAACAAGTTGTTTCCACTTGCATGCACCAGCAAACACCAAACACATTTCTATTCAAAATCAATCACAAACTTTTCCCATCAAAGTTTTGCTTAAACATATTAACTTTACCCGTCCAGTTGCTGAAAACCTCTGTGAATGAAGGCCCAGATTGAACTCTCAGCAGCTGCATCCTGTAAGGTATAAGTAAATACCTCAAGCCTGCAACCAAAATCAACGATCAACATCTTAAATACAAACTGCTACTTGAAAAATTAATGGTCATCGTGTTCTTTCTTTATGTTTTTAGTCATGACATTGAAATTCATCAAAATTGTCTTCTATCAGATTTTATTATGATAAAGCTTAAATTTCATCGATAAATTTGTTATTTTGAAATATCAATTGAGCAGAAGTTTAGAGCTGGTAAGAATCCCCAGAACAAAAATACTCACCGGCGATGCACATGGAGCGGTATAGGAAAGAGGTATGGGCGCCACCCTTGGAAGCCACCTGGGGTCTCTCCAAACACTCGAGGAAAGCTAAATCAGCCTTCAGTAGCTTGCTTTGGTCATGAGTGTCGTACCCGATATCGTGGCAGTAGCAGCAGAAGTCAAGCCAGTCAATAGGGCGGCGATCCCAGAGCATGGATCCGCCGTCCTTGCCGCTTGACCAATTGGGGCCACAGTAATGGCCGTAGCGGGGGAAAAGCTGAGAGAGGAAAGCGCGGACGCCGCCATGCCAGGGAACCTTGGCGACGTACGGCCGGAATCGGGGTACAGCGCAGCCAGCTTCAGGCGGCCAGGTGGGGATGGAACGCCGGCGAGAAGTGGGAGTGGCGGGGACAAAGGGGATAACGGATTGCAGCGATTTGATAAGGGTGGTTCTGAGATCAATGAGTGCGTTGGATCGAGATTCGGAAGGAGATTGGGGAGGAAGGGGAGACTGAGGAGGAAGGGAAGATTGAGGAGGAAGGGGAGATTGAGAGGTGGGAGATTTTCCGGGGAGCAGACGGAGAAGGGAGGGAAGCCCTAGCTGGGGCAGGAGGCGGAGATCAACGGCTGGAGGAGACCAGATAGATTGATCAGCTCCCATAGTCCCATTCGAGAAACATAACGGAGTGGAGAAGAATACTTGAATCGCTGTAGATGAGGTTGGGAAGAAGTAGCCGCCTTAGGCAGAAAATTTTAGCCTTAAATTAATGAACAATTTTATCATTTTAGGGATACCAAAATCTCACGACCATACAAATAAATTAAAATAATATTTGAAAATTGCACATCAAAAGTTATAAAAAGTGATGAAGCACTAGATTTGATTCAATTACATTAATTTCTTTAGTTAAGGCAAATTGAACTCTAATTTTAGCAAATTTATAATGAAGATTAGCATCTTTAAAGGATAGATTATTGGACATCAAAAGTGAGTAGATTCAAGTCCAAAGGAGCCAAAATTAATTATTTGTAGTGTGTTTAGAAACATCAAGATATTAATTGAAAAAAAAAAAATCAAATGTTATTCAATTTTGACGCAATTAGTCAAATTGAGCATTTCGATAAAACAAATCTAACGTGTATAAAATCACTTAATTTGAGGTTACCAAGATACTTAAATGTTGCAAGAATGAACAGTGATTAAAGGAATCAAGACCCGTCTATTACAGTACTTTTTTTAAAAAATTTTGATAAGATTTATCAAAATCTCACTATCAAGAATTATAAATAAATCTTCATTTTTTACATTAAGAGAATCTTGACTTAATATTAGAGAGAGCTCTAAGATCTGAAGAGTTCTAAATCTCTACATGGCATTTAATGTTGAAGATCACAACCAACAACTCCCATTGCTTGACCATCGTTGCTTGACCACTATCATTACCCATGAGTCGTTGTTTGACCAGATTGCCCAACCATTATAGTTAATTCACTATCATTCGATTTCCATCATCTGAATATCATTATTTGATTGTTGTAGTTAGATCATCATTACCCTACTACCATTGTAATAACCAGGCCAAACCGATCCGGTATTTCTCCTTCATGCGAACCAACATGAAGTAATTAAACCGCTCCCCTATTTGCACGCCAGCGGCATCGTACACGAACAAACAACCTTGGTCTGCCATCTCTGCCTCCAGTCATGAGGATTACTCAATTCTTTCCCAAATTGATTGGATTCTCCTGCATATAGCTTCCCTCTCGCCATTTAAACCGAATAGAAAGCCATGAAATCTATTATTCTCCTATTTTCTCCCTCGTAATAGCCATCAAAAGCCCACTGCCCTCTCGTATCCATTGAACCTCTTGCCTACTCTTCCTTCTCGTTTCTCCTGCGCGAATAGCAGCCTCAAGTAAGTTCCTCCAATTTTGAGTCTAAACTATTCTATTTTCTCTTCTCCTTCTTCCTTTCTTCCTCTTTATTCTCAAGTTATGTTAATTATTAGATGTCCTCTTTTGTAGTGTTTTGCTAGATTTAATTTAGTGTTTCCTTGATCCATTATTATGAGGGATTTTAAATTGTTTTCGAAGGAGGCCTTATTTTAAACCCTAGGTTATTTATATATTTTTAAACCATGTTATTTTTCATTATTAATTTTGGTGTGCAAGGCATGGTTAAGATTGATTAGGATAGTCTTCATCATGCCTCGATGAATGTGCTTAATATTATTTTAGTTTTGCCATTTTTAGGATTGTCATTTGGTGGAGTCAGAGCTATCCGCTTTTGAGGTCGGAGTTTGTGGCAACCACGGTGAGTAACTGTTATTTATTTATAGGATAATAACTTTCTTAGTTAGGGGTTTATTTTGGTTATATTATTAGATCTTTTAATATTAAGTGACAATTTATGTCATTGTATATTTATGTTATTTTACACATTTACCCATAATGAATTAGAAACTTCTTAAATAGATTATTCTTGGATTATTGCTGCATAATCTTATGTATATCAAATTTGTATTTTTTATATATGCTCTTAATTGAATACAATAATTATTACATTGACAAATCACATTAGTTCTATTTATTGCAGTACATGATACTCCTTTTATAAACCATGTTGATTATATATAAATTATAATTTGTCATATTGAATTATATAACACATGTTGATTATTTTAAATAGCATTTGCACTTTACGATTATGTGTATGCCAGTTTAACCCCATTGGCTTTTGGCTAGACGAGGTTGATGGTGTAATAACCCGTATGTTGACTCTGACAAATATTTTTTTCCTAGAGTTAATATGAATCCAAATAAAAAACCGTCTTTGCCATAGCATTGAGATTATGGTATTTTACATACATGATTTTTTTCATAATTTTTGGGTGCCAATGAAACTCCTTAAGAAATTGGCAATTGTCGGTATAAATGGAGATTTTTGGATTATCATGTGTCCATTTCGCAAACCGTTTTCTCTGATATTTTCTAAATAAAATAATTTATTTTAAGAATATTTTTTTATAATTTTTTAAGTTCAAAAATAATTTATTTCAATTTTATACTAAATAATTGATTAAATTAAATATTGTACTATTATTTATTTTAATATAACTTAAGCCATTATAAACTTTATTTAAATCTTTTTTCCTTCTTGAAACAACACAACAGAGACATTTTTTTGAGATTTTAAGAGAGAAAAGTGAGGAGAGAGAAAAAAAGTTAGGTTTTGGAGGTCACGGAGCATTTTTTATCAATCGAGCTAGTTGAGAGAATTGCTCATCTCATTATAAGGAATCATTACCCTATTTCTAATTTCAAAGATTTTATAATTTTGATATTTTTTTGATCAAATTTGTATTTTCGTTACTGAAAATAACTATAATTTTGTATTGATAAAACTTATACCACGTAAATTTTTATATGTTATAGAGATTGAGATTATGAATATTTCTAGTATTTATTTGAGATTTTTTATCAATATATTTTAAAATATATAGTTTTTTGTATACTCAAAAACTTATTTTGATGTCTAAAAATAATGATTTAGTTCAACTAATGCTTCATAATATTATTTTATGTAATATTTGATAATGTGGTTAAATTCTAAAAATGTGAATTTTTGCTCTGTATGATTTTTGTTGTCTACCGTCAACACATTTTGACATTTTTTTGAATTAAGCTTAATTATGTATTATTTGCTGTAATATATTAAAAATGAATGTGTATATATTATTGAGATTATTATTATAGTGCTGTGATAATAATGTGTATGTAAAAGATAAGTAAAAATTATTAACTCCTTAGTTGGAGATTGATTGACCTATACAGGATGGTAGATTGATAACTTTCCTTTAAATATTATGGTTTGGTGTTATCATTTACTTATTCACTTGATACTGATTGAGAGTTGTAAGGAGATAATTATTATGCCATGGACAAAGAGTGGTGACTCTGTTTACTGAGCTAACAGTTTAATGATATTGATATAATAGTAAAAACATAGTGATAGCTAGGATTTCTTAATTATTTAGTGTTCCTACTAAAATGCATGATCTTGAGATATTATTCTTATTATTGTATAGATTTATTGTTACTGCATGAATTTATTATTATTTCATTATTTTACCGCTCATTTCACTGAACTGTTATTGACATAGATACTTATATTATTTGAAACTACTGATTCACTGAACTAATACTAAGCATGTGATATTCTAAGCATATGATACATAATAATACTTGGATAGTTTGGGTAGACTCTTATATGATTTGATTACATTAACATGATTTCGATAGTCTTTATCAATATTTTGATTTGATGATTTATATAATTTCTATATTGATTGGAATTACTTATACAAAGATTGCTTTATAGATTTTGACATTCATACTAGTTTATCACTTTATTGGCTTTTATACCATAGTATTTTACTATTTATAGATTATACTATTGTTGATATATGAATTTTACTATTTATATAATGATTCAATGATCATATGAATGATACTGTATATTATGATTTGATTGTTGATAAGCATATTGCTCCTTTATACTTTGAATTCAATTATAAGTTTTGGTGATCCGCTGAACTTTTTAGCTTATTAAATATGATTAAATGATTTCATATCATGGTAGAGGATCAAGATTGTGAGGATAGTCAAATTCCTTTATGATCATGTTCTTTTTGTTTTAATTATTCTTTTATACTCAATATAAGATATATATGTGATGATTATATAGATCCTAAATATTGAATATAATTTTTGAGAATGAATACTTATATGTATGTTGATGTTTTAAATTATAAAATCTATTTTGTTATTTATTATATATAAATGGTATTAGATAGCTTTATTTATAATATTAAAAGAATAATTCTTTAAATTAGATTTTGGGGCATTATAGATGGGCCCCTAGAGTGATGACTTTATAGGAAATCTCTGAATTTTTGTGTGTTTGTGTTTACCTTTTCAGTGATGGGTATATGATGAATTAATAATAAAAATATATACTAAATATAAGAAAATATAAGTGGATATTAATTGGAATCAAGATATGACTTACAAGTCATTGTGAGATACATGGATACTTTGTGTGGTGCATTTATAAACATTGTAACAATTTGACATCAATAATATATACATGCGTACTAAAATTTGTTATAGAAAATATAACATATATCATGACTATTTTTGATATTGTGGTTATAGATTATTGCAACCTTTTTTTTCGCTCATATTGCATGCTCCATTCCTTTGTCATTTATGTTTTAATAGATGGGACTAACTTATTGATTTTGATTTATTTTTCAAACTCATACATTTTCTTTTTTAGAAGGTCCTACATACATGTTTGGTGGACCGCCACCTCAGGATCAAGGTTATCAGCAGTAGACTATTTTTGGTATATATTATTTTATAGTAGTTTATTATGTTTATGATTATGAGGGTTAGGTAGTTTCTTTCTTGGTTTTGTTCTATTTATATTTATGCTGGCTTGCATCATAACTATATTTATTTGGATATATTAATTATTTGAACTTCTATTAATGAATTGGCTCTTTATTTCACTTTTTTTGTTCACTATGATTCCTATATATATCATGTTCCATCTCTTGTATATGTATACTTTTCATTATAAATACAAAATAGGTCTTTCTACCCTTTATCACATCGCGTATTGTTGGGGTGTACCACCTTCTAGACCTTGGGTGTGACAACCTACGACTGATTGATATCAT